GCCCTTCCCAGTTTCCGAGTACACTAAATGAGTTCGAGTTCTGAGGAAACCGAGGAAAGAAAATAGTTGACTAGGATCTTTTGCTTTTGGTTTTGTGTACCCCTCAGGCGCTAGCTTCTCCTTCTTGAGAAGAAATCTCAATAAAGGGTTTTTGGGTGAGGATCGAGACGGTTTCCTTGGGAGGAAACTAACCTTTCTTGGCTCACATCGCCTCGGAAATTGACCAATGCGTCCCCGGCTCTGTTTGTTAAGGAGGTCACCGGTTCAAGACTAGCAGACTAGTTCTAATTATTAATTTTGCCTACTTCAAGTGTATTCTCACATATGGGTTATTTAATGAGCTGAATAGTAAATCTGCCCAACCCACTTGGGAGGATCACAGCCAATTATTTATTTTATTTTTAAGACCCCCAAGGAATGGAATGGTTGGAGAAGTTCAAGGCAGCAGGAAAAAAAGACGACCAAATATGGGATGTATTGACTCCCTCAATGAAGCCATGGCCTTAAGTGTGCAAGATCTGAGAAGGGATGTTAATGACAGGACATTTTGGACGTCACTCATTCATGGGGTCACCATAGGTTGGAGGCAACTTGATGGCAGATAACAGCAACAAAGAAGTGGTAGTAGATCAAAATAAAAAGTATAGAATGGTTATTTTATTTATTTATGGGGCATTGGAGACTAAGGGCTAATAGCATCCTGCCTTTGAACACAGTCATAGTGGATTACATCTGAAACGCTGTCTAGCTCTGGTCCTCACACATTAGAGGACAATCAGAATGGTTAGCAGACTAAAAGAACTCCGCATTGAGGGAAGACTGCAATATCTGGACTTCTTAGTTTAGGGGGTGAAAGGAAAATATTGGGAGGGGCATTGGAGACTAAGGGCTAATAGCATCCTGCCTTTGAACACAGTCATAGTGGATTACATCTGAAACGCTGTCTAGCTCTGGTCCTCACACATTAGAGGACAATCAGAATGGTTAGCAGACTAAAAGAACTCCGCATTGAGGGAAGACTGCAATATCTGGACTTCTTAGTTTAGGGGGTGAAAGGAAAATATTGGGAGGATATATACAATACAATTGAGGACAATAAAAATGGTCAGCAGACTAAAACAACTCCGCTTTGAGGGAAGACTGCAATATCTGGACTTCATCGTTTAGGGGGTGAAAGGAAAATATTGGGAGGATATATACAATTTTGATTTTACTTTCTTGGGCTCCATGATCACTGCAGATGGTGACAGCAGCCACATAATTAAAAGACGCCTCCTTCTTGGGAGGAAAGCGATGACAGACCTCAACAGCATCTTTAAAAGCAGAGACATCACCTTGCCGACAAAGGTCCGCATAGTCAAAGCTATGGTTTTTCCAGTAGTGATATATGGAAGTGAGAGCTGGACCATAAAGACAGCTGATTGCAGAAGAACTGATGCTTTTGAATTTTGGTGCTGGAGGAGACTCTTGAGAGTCCCCGGACTCCAAGGAAAACAAACCTATACACTTTGAAGGAAATCAACCCATGGTACTCACTGGAAGGACAGATCCTGAAGCTGAGGTTCCAATACTTTGGCATGAGAAGAAAAGACTCCCTGGAAAAGACCCTGATATTGTGAAAGTGTGAGGGCAAGAGGAGAAGGGGATGACAGGGGATGAGATGGTTGGAGAGTGTAATTGAAGCTACCAACATGAATTTAACCTAACTCTGGGAGGCAGTGGAAGACAGGAGGGCCTGTTGTGCTCTGGTCCATGGGGTCACGAAGAGTCGGAAACGACTTAATAACTAAAGAACAATTTATGCATGTTGCAGAAGAAGCAGAAATGGTAGAATACAGTACAAGAACAAAACTTGAACCATGAATGTTTAAACCAGTGATTGAGTCTCCAGGTGTTCATGGACCAAAACAACAATTTATGCATGTTGCAGAAGAAACAGAAATGGTAGAATACTAGAACAAAACTTGAACCATGAATGTTTAAACCAGTGATTGAGTCTCCAGGTGTTCATGGACCAAAACTCCCAGAAGTCCACCACTAACTGTGCCAGCCAAGATTTCTGGGTGTTGTAGTCCAAGAACATTTGGAGACTCAAGATTGGTAAGTTCTGTTTTAAATATATTGAGAAAAATTAGCTCCAGAGCATATGCAGAACACAAACAAAAGCTACCAAAAAAACCCCACACACAGTATGTTCAAGGTTGAGTTCAAATGTTGCTCAATCAAAATTGTAAGTGCTGGTTTAAATATATTGAGAAAAATTAGCTCCACAGCATATGCAGAGTACGAACAAAAGCTACAAAAAAAAAAAAAACACAGTATGTTCAAGGTTGATTGAGTTCAAATGTTGCTCAATCAAAATTGACTGAATTCCAATGTTGTAAGCTTTTGCAATGTCTGTGTCTCTGTGTGCTCAACCTGCCCTGTCTTTTCAGTTCAACATCCAATCCAACTTTGGAAGAGGCAAAGCAGCAGTTTTACATGAATGGAAAGTGTGTCTTCCAAGGAAGGTGGAAGACGTGAGCAACAATTTCCAGGAAATTTGCATATTGTTCTTTTAAGGAAGCAAACAGTGTTTCAACAGAATTCCCTAGAAACTCTTTGAATCACACATTGCAGCCAATCAGTGCAATCCACGCAATGTCTGAAATTCACAAATGCTTTTTCAGATGCATTTTTATCATGCTGTAAGTATGCTTTACGATTATGCAAAATGCAGAGCTTGTTTCATGAGCAAAAGGCAATCATCCCCTGCCCCCCTTCTTAGCCACCACAGGAAAGTCTATCCTAAAATGTGAGTGCTCAAATCTCCTAAGTGCATTTTTTAACACTGAGAAATTCCCAGTGGTAGCAAGAGAAATGTGGGGCTGCAGTGCAGGAGGTACAAACTGCAGCTGAAGGAGTGGAAAAGGCTTCGAACCACATGTTAGATTTTTGAAAGTGAAACAACAGTATATTTTCTTTATAAAAAAGAACACTTCACATCATAAACATACTTTTTCTGTAATATCGTATATCAGTTTCAATGGCTCAGGGGTGAGTTTACATCTCAGTTCTATCCCCCACAAATACAAATTAAATCCATGGGGAACTGCGCCCATGCTTGCTCACTTTACAGATGCACTAATTGATGCTAATATAGCAAAGCCTTGTTTGTGAGAAATGCCTTTCCTTCAAATAAGCACAAAGGTCCAGTAATTCAGTGGAGAGGAAGCTGTAATTCTCAGAAGCACCACTGTCACTTTGTGTTGGGTGGTCCTATGTCCAAGCTTGGGTCTTGGCAGTCTTTTACCATCTACACTATACCAGCAGTTTTCAGCCCTGGGTTCCCAAATGTTCTTGGACTAAAACTCCCAGAAGCCTTCACCACCAGCTGTCCTGACTGGGGTTTCTGGGAGTTGCAGTTCAAAAACATCCGAGTAACAAAGGTTAAGAACCACTGAACTACACTATACCAGCAGTTTTCAGTCCTGGGTTCCCAAATGTT